TGATCGGACCGTTTAACCCAGACCCCCAAACGTGTGTTGTTTACTTGCAGGGGACACATTTTGTCACTGAGTGCCAAAACCCATGATTAGAGTTGGGCCCAGTTATAGAATGTACTGCTTATTGTTTGCTTTGAGCCACTGGTAAAATGTAAAATGTATCCTAAGTCTACCCCAGCCATTTACCAACATGATAAAGGTTTGCACCCTTATAATCCCCAGTGAGCTCCACTTGCCGCTATAGTAGGTAACCAAACATGTTCCATTTGATTTCTACATCGGGTGGTTCCCTTGGCTACCATACGGGTAGATGGAAACACTGGGATTCTGATAGATGTTGTTTTTTTTTGGGGGGGACCCGCCAAAATGGAGGTGTTCCTTTTGGCTTCCCTTTAAAACCAAACAAAAGGGGTACCTTCAGAAAACGGCACACGCATATAAACGGCTTCCCTTAAACCCTCCAGCAAAAAAACACCTTCAAAAGATATAAACCGCATGTAGACCGCCCAAGACATGGCCCTCTAGTGCCTTGCCGGGCTCGCCGGCGGTGCTCAACAAAGCCAGCTGCGGCAGGGCGAGCGCCCCCAAACGCCTGGCCTCGATCCATACGGCCCAGAATGGGTGGTGAGCTGTTTGCCCTTGTCACCACCCTCAAAAGGAGTACACGAAAAGGCACATGTGGCGTGTCTCTGTGTGCTGCTTTTGGAGAGCCCCTTTTTTGGTTGGCTTTTCACGGAGAATCCCTGTTTGGACCCTCAAAGTTCCTTAAAAACTGTTGTTTGCTGGGTCCAGGTGTCTTTTTAGAAACCTCTTTTTGAAGGGAGCCAAAAGGAAAACCGAACTCCATGTTGGGGGGGGTCTAACCTAAACAAACACACACCCCATACTTCGCTCAGAATTGGGGGGCTCGGCAAAACACCCTTTGGAGACATTCCCATTTGAGACCAACAGGGCCAAGTAGAAAAAATAAGAACACGATGCACAAATGAAAGTGGCTGATGCTCCTCTCCAAAAAGGGGAGCACTCTCCAAAACTGATTCGGATTCCCCCCTAAGTTTGTCAGGAGGACACCGGCCAGTGCATGGAATCCTCGCGTGCTGGCTCCTTTCCTCGTTTTGCGTGAAAATAGATCACGGGGACCCTGCTTTGCGATCTGTACCCCAAAGACTTTCTGGGTTTAGGGTGAAGGTTCTGTTATTTCGGGTTACCCTAAGCGGCGGGAACTTTTGGAAGCTTTGAAGTTTCCGCTGGTGAGGTCAAAGACTGAAAACCCATTTCGGTGCCGCCTGTAACCGCCGCCTTGAAAACGGGCTATCAAACAGGGCCCTCGCTTTTTGGCAACCCAAGAGGGTGTGCGTTTTTGTTGAGGGTACCCATTTTCAGATTAGCTGTATCGCAAGTATATCGGACATTCAAAGCAATACATATCAATAAAATCGAGTGTTTTCGCGGAGCTTGCAGTACCGAACCAAGGGAAACAACCTGCCCGGGACCCAGAGCGACAGAAACGGCTCTGGCTCGTCGCCTTCTTCGTGAGCTCCATTTTCAGCTCGGCGCCTCTCCTCGTCGATTTCGCGTGTTCCCCCCCCCCATGGGCCACGTGTCGACGGACCTGGGATGTGCTTCTCAGTTGCCCAAAGGAGCCAGAAACATGTGCCCTTTTAGGACAAATAGATGGCCCTGGTAGATGATGAAACCACCAGGTAAACCAGGAATCGCCATCGATTTTTCAACCAAAAACAACAAAAAGGACACCTATGCCCAGAAATTAAAGGTTAACCTTTGGGGGCCATCACTACAATGGACCACAAAGGGGAACCAAAAGGTGAAAAGGCCGGCTTTGGGCAAGTGAGTCTTTAAAAATACCGAACTGAGACTCGTGAGCAAAAAGAAACGAAATGACACTGGCACGACAAACCCGAATAGCAACAGCAACTTTGGCAATCCTTGTTGAAAGGAAGGGACAAAGGAAACAAATGAAAGAACGTAAATGATACTAGGCAAAACAAATCCCTGGCTAATGAAACGGAACCAAGCTGAGCCCCCATCTATTTGTTCAAACAATCTGACCAATGATGCCCACCTCTTGGTAAAAGTCATATCCACGGATTGTCTCATTCTGTGGTAGGGCGTTTTATTTCGTAGACTTAGTGGGGGGGCTTCCCTTAATTACCACCAGCACGGCCCATCCAGTTGTATGCTGGCTTCCAGCGAAAAGAATGGAAATCCCCATGAGCCACCGCACCGGTTGAACCGTCTCAACTCATTTGAGAGAACTTCTTGGGGGGTACACGAATCGAACAAATGAAAGGAAGGGGCAAAGAACAGGTCTGGGGTTGGTGGCTCCGGTGTCTTTGTTGAGGGTGTCCTTTTTTTCTCGGAGGTTTACAGGGAAACCACAAAGCAAACCACCTTGTTGGACGGTCCCCCGAAAAAAGACACATGTTGGTTTCGCATTCCTGGGGCCCTCGTGTTTGGTTTGCTTGCATTCACCGGCACAGGAAGGGTTCGGAGGGTGTCGGGGTGTTTTCTTGTGGGATTCGCGCGCCGAAGACGAGAGCCTCGTCTGCAAAGCATGTGAATGGAACCGGGGTGCTTCTTTGTTGGAATTCCCAATTGCTCCTTCCCTTGCTGGATCCAGAATCTAAAATCAACAAATAACCGACATCAACAGCGAATTAATGGGAATTCAAACTAACCAAAACACCGGTTGTGGTGGGAAAAACAAAGAGGTTCGCACCTATTTGACCGGATTGAAGTGACATCCTATGATCCGGGAACCGTCCCACAACTGAGTTTTAGCACCCTCAAAAGTCACGTCCCACAAGCAAATCTACGAAACCTGCAAGAGTCACTTCCTGAGTGAATTGGCCTCACTTCCTGAGTGAATTGGCCACACAACCACAAGCTGCTTATGTGTTGCCCAAATAGCCCTCCCAAAAAGTATGACTCGGGGAGCCATAAACTCATAGCCACGAACCAAATGGAACTCTTTAACTTGGAGCAGACCAATAAAAAGAAAAGGAGTAAATGGCTGGACTGAGTCTACCCCTGATTCATAATAAACATTACCCTCCCCCCACCTTTTTATGAGTACACGGTTTCTGGGCCGCTTCCCCAGTTGCTTTTCCCACTGGCAGGGGCTATCAGGGGGTCAACATGACCCTTAAACCGCGACTGTGTTTTTTTGTTGGGTATGATGTGTTGGTTCTTCATTCAGGGAACCAGTGCTACAGCCATTTGGGGTTCCCTGATTTTAAGACACACCACCCAGTTTGGACCTTCAGCTAAGCGTCGTGTATCCCTCCACCACCTCTGCCATCCGCTCCAGCACGAAAACGTACATCTCGAAGTGCAGCTGAAGGGATGGACGAGGTGGAAATTGCTTCAAATGCTTTTTCGCCGAAATTGTTGTGTACTGGTTTAGTTCTCGTTTGGTATTGGTGGGATGCTAACATGGTATCGGTTGAACACTCACTTGCCCCAAGGACCCAACAATAACAGGTCTACCTAGGGCCATGACTAACAAGTCGGTTTGACCAACTTCCTGATCCTGAGGCAAATCCAACATTTCATGAAAAAAGATGGAACCCCAAAAAGAACCACGTAACTTTGGAGTTGGGTTCAACAGAAATCAGTTCTTCTCAGATTCTGCATTATATCTAGTCAAGCCTATCTAAACATCAGCGCACTTTAAACAAAACTCGTCTAAACCTGGGCCCACCAGGTGACGTTTAAATCCACCAACAAGAAGCACTGGCTACCACCAAGGAAACTCATACTGGCTTCTATCTGCTCAAACTCAGGCATATAGGTAGGAGGCCACCTGGGCAGTGCACCGGCCCTTTTTAGCCCAACATATCATCTTTTGGTTGCCAGATGTACACTTCCTAGTTGCCTGAGACCTGGATCTGCGAAAAAGAAACCCAAGACCAACCCGTCGTTGATTCGGGTCATGGCCGGTTTGTAAAGGGGTTGTCCAACTTGGAAGCACCAAACGGAAAACGGGTGGAACCCAGTGGGCGACAGACTCTCGATCGCTTGCCTGCAGCAACTTCACAAAGGTCGCCCGGTCTTCCAGGTCCAGCGTGTCTGGAGGCCGCAGCACCTCAATGACTCAACCGCACACCTGGAAAAAACATTCACTTAAATGTCAGTATACAGGGCGACTCGCCTCAATGACGCAAAAAAAGCAAGCTTCTTCCTTTGAGCATGCTTCACCCACCTCGACTTGCCCCTTTACACCAATAAATTCATGTACGGAGCACATCTGCTTCACCCAGAGGTACCAGTGTATGAAACCGGTCGATTTGCCTGTGCTTTTTTCAAGAGGGGCGTTTTGGTTGTCCGCTATAGTAATTGGAATCAATCACTGGGTCATATTTAGTCAATTTCAAATACGAGAGATATTGTGAGGAGATCCCAGTGAACAGGTTCTCTCCCTCCCGAACGGGAAAAGCGAAACTAGTAACTAGAAATGGCTGTCTTTTTGAGGGTACTCGTGTCCCCGAAAAAAGACACGCTCAAAATCGCCCAAATGGGGGTGGTCCCTTGGCTGGTCACGAGTTAGCAACGGTGAGGGCTTTGCACAAGAAGCGTGGCCTACCTTTGCGACCATGTGCCATGTGTGTGTGTGTGTTGTTGAGGGTGCCAAAAAAAGAAGCCACCCGTTTGGGGGAGGGACTTTGCATTTGGACGCATACCCAGTGCCAGGAGTCACATGTAGTTGGAGATGTTGAAGGATTAAAGTGGCCGGCATGTCTGAATCTTTTAGGGAACCCCTAAGCGGGGTGGTCCAAGGGATTCCCTGAGACTGACTAAGGAACCCTAGACCCTAGACAACCCCTTAAAAACCCTCAGCCTCTCAACTACCCACCCCTTATAGCAGGGGATTCCATAAATCTTTCCTGGTCACCAGGGAATATGGTTTCGACGCTAAAGGTCTGGACGCAGTCGGTGGGCAAACAGACGGCTCCAGCGAACATGTTAAACACCGCTATTCTTAAGAAACACTCTCCTCTGCTTTCCCTCGGGTAGGATATGGCTCTTTCAGCCTCACTTTGCCCCCACCGTGCTTTTCAACAAAGCAACTCCTGCACCCAAATAGGTGTGTCAAAATAGAGGGGCCCTAACAAATGGGAATGTTCCTCGGTTTCCCTTTAAGGCCATCCAAAAAGGGTAGCCTGCAAAACAATCGCCACCAATTAACACTGGAGCCTGTGTCAGGCTCCACGTTAAGCGGGAGGGTCTATCTATATATTTATATAATACGTGTATTTTGGGGACCCCTTTTGCCTGAAAGGAAACACTATAGAAATCAACCCAAAAGGGGTACTGAGCCTCAAAAGGAAATTTGTCGCCCGCCTCCATGCCCATTGCCAGGTCGTGCTCAATGATGGCCTCAGAATTTGAGTTCAGCAGCTGGTGTCCAGCCTCTCGTCTTGGTTGCTGCAACGACCTCCTGTAAAAAGTCTTTAACTTTTTGGGGGGTTAGTGGAAAACCCCTTGATTTCCCAAAAAGTTAAAGTTTTGGGGGTTTAGTGGAAAACCCAACTTGATTTCCCAAAAAGTCAAAGTCCAAAGATCCAACCCAATAGCAGTCAAGTCGTCCAGCCTGTAAGCTTGTCAGGGTACCGTCACCACCATCGGAGTGGCACCCCAAACCCATAAGATTAAAAGGCGCACTGCACCGAAGTATGTTTGGAACTCTCCCTTGCCGAACTTCATGCACCCGGGCTTTGATTGTAGATAAAATTGGAACATCTCTCTACAGGCTTCGCGGAAAATTGTCGCCTTCGCTTTACCAGGTGGTCATCAACCAGCTCTTCTCACAAGCTAGTGTCACTTAGGCAGCTTGCTCTTTGCATTGCTTGTAAATTGGCTGCTGCCGTTTGGACTGCTGCATCTCTGGCTTCCTTTCGCCTGTTTTGTTTGGCGCTCTGTCCGCTAGGTCGGATCTTGGGTCTTGGAAGCAACCTCTCCTCCGCTTCCATCAGGTTGCTTCCCTGCAACACATCTGGGGTTGAAGAAAGGTCGGGACCCCATCTCCAGGAGCGTTGGTCTATATTTATTCCTTGCTTGCCACAAGCCAAAAACCAGAGGACAATGCATGGGTGCGTCTCTTTTCGGGGCACCTTTCTTTGTGTGGTTTTAGAGGGAAATTAAGAGGAAACCATCATGTTAGTGGAACCCCTAAAAACAGGCACGCCCACATGGACAATTCTACAGGCAGTTCGCCAAATTCCCACCAGCACCTGTCTGGTTTGGCTTGTTGCCAAATGTTGCCGGTCCTAACTTTGCAGGTGCCACATTCAGTGGGGGAAAATCATGGGTACCTATTTTGCCCCATCTAGTTGTAAACGGAAACCCTCAAAACGCGAAAAGGCGCCAGCAAAACTGTCTAAAAACGCAAGGGGCCAACCAGTCGCTGCAACTTGCATAAATAGCGATCCTCATCTTGGTTGCCTTTTTCAACATCATCTAAATCCTGTTTCTGAGCATCCTCATTTAGGCCCCCAGGAAAGGCAGCCAATTCACAGCAGGGCCTTTTTGACAGGCATGTTGGCTTCAAGGACTCAGTAATAAATGTCAAAGCTTTGTCAAAAGCAATTGCTGTAAACAAACGTGGAGCGGCAAGGCTCCCGTGTGGCTGTGAATTCTTCTGGGGGTTTGGAGCATTCCAACCTGGTGTTCAACCCCCAGGCAGGTCGGAGCCGCCAGAAAGAATAACAACTTGGCTTTCAGAGGCCATGAGATCCCCAATTTGCAACCTGCTGGCGGCACAAAATTTGCCCGTACAACCTCCGTCGAAACGGGTCTGGCAAAGGAGCCATTTCGAGCCTCCCAAACTCAAAACAAGTTGCACTCAGATACGCGCCATGGTCAAACGTCAAAACACGAGTTTGCCAAGGAGGATAGGGGCAAATCAGGGAGTCCCATAGTTTTTTGTGGGACAATTCGTGAGTGTCCCTCCCAAAATGAGTCATAGACCCCGAAAATTTGATCAAATCTTGTGTGTCACAAATCCCTCCAAGAACTAAACTTAAGGAACCATATAGCTGGGAGCCAAGTAACATGATCAATACACCAAAGTTAACGGTTTGCAGCGTGGATGAGGCAAATGTGCTTCATTTTGTAAAGGATCCCCTTTCTGAGTCCCACATCATTGGCTCCCCAGTCCATGCTTCAGATTTGCTCCGATCGGAGGGGTAGAACATGGGTCCCTGATGAAAGGAAACCTACGGATTTCAATTGGGAATGATCTTTAACTCAGAACCCTTTGGTGGACAACATAAAGGTGGGGGTTCGGTTTGTATCCACCAACCACTTTGCAGAAGCGACCACCAAAAGTCCATACCCTGGCCAGTTTGTCCATGCTCTGAATGTCAAAGAACTTATATTTCAGTTCTAAAGTCGGAGTATCCTCTAAGAGGCGCATGCTGCCAACTTTCGGAAGCTCACCGAAAGCTTTTGAGCCGTAATCCCCCCCCGCACCACCCCCACCACCCCCACCACCCCCACCACCCCCACCACCCCCTTCACCCCCTTCACCCCCTTCACCCCCTTCACCCCCTTCACCCCCTTCACCCCCCCAACCCCCCCCCCCCACTTTAGACCATGGCCCATCCAGTCGTCTGCCCGTACCCGAAAGCCAAGACGCCCAGCGGTTGAAGCTCGTCACCTTCTGCATCGCCTCCCACAAGGCCTGAAGCCACAGTCGCAACGTGTCTTGGTTGCAACGACCCCCCTGCAAAAATCTGAGAAAACACTTTTTTTGGGTTTAGTAAGTTGATTTCACTGTTTGGGGGTTTAGTTGGAAACCCAACTTGATTTCAACCAAAAAGTTAAAGTCTAAAGATCCAACGCAGTAGCAGCTAAGGTGTGTGCGTCATGGTCAACTCCTTTTTCTAGGGGTACCTTCCATTTCCATTCTTTCCAGGGATCCTTCTTTTCAGGAAACCATCATTAAAACTCAGGGAAACAGATCCGGTTTTCGAAAGAACGATGGGTGAAAGGAATGGAAAAGGAATCAACCCCTAGACTTTTTGCCCCGTTTCCTGCCGGCACGGCTGCGGAGGCCGCAGGGATTTACCAAGGAAGTCCTTAAACGACCGAGGCCAGGTCCTAATTCAGCTTCAGAGTACCTTGCAGTGTAAAGATCTGGCGAAGCCAGAGACAAGTCTGACAGCCTGTGCTTCTGAGCTGAGCCTGGTCAAACCTCCTTATATGGGACACCATCATGTTTGCCTCAATAGAAATTATAATAATAGCTGTCTAAAAAAATTGAGGGGTTGATGACCATCCCTTGCGTCCTTGAATGTGCAGGGCTCGTGCCGCAACACGTGAAAAGGACTGCGCACTGAACGGCCTGCGCAACGAACACGGGTTAACGATCATCCCCGCATCCGCAAGTAAACGGGTCTTTAAACCATGCACATGCGGGGCGTTGTTGCTTCATTGGGATACCACGGAGTGTCTAAGCCATAGGCGTCCTTTTCGGGGAAATAGATGGCCCTGGTAGATGATGAAACCACCAGGTAAACCAGGAATCGCCATCTATTTTTCGAGCAAAACCAAAAAGGACACTTATGGTCTAACCTCTTTTCTTGGTTTGAAGGGAAACCACAAGGACATCAACCCACATGCACCGAGAAAACCGGTTCGACCATTCGGCGCCTGAGCGGAGCCGCTCTCAGCGCTGGATTCGAGGGTGGAGATGCTGCTGCTCCAAAGGCTGTCGACCATGGACATGTCCTGGCTGCTCGGGCGGTGGGGGTTGGGGGGTGGGGGGGTGGGGGGCGTTGTTCGGGGGAGGGAGGGCGGCTGATTGAATGGGGGGGGCTGGGGGGGGGGGGGGCTGGGGGGGGGGCGGGGGGGGCGGGGGTTGATTCAATGGGCTTTTGAGCGGAGTCTTGGTGCATTTCTGTTGGGCGGGTTGCATTGCAAAGTTCCCCCCGCGTGTTTGCCTTCTTTTTGTTGGTTTTCCCCATTCCCCAGTTTAAACATCACCTTTGGGGCCTCCGAGCTACACGCCGATTTCGAGCTTTCCATTGATCTGAGGGTTCAAACCAAGTACCACTAAGAGGGTTTTCCGCTTTGCAAACTGAAAGCTATGGGGTCTCTGCCCAAACTGACTTTAAACTCCTTTTTGCCTCATTTTGCATCTTTGATGGTGAGTTTCCTGTTCCGGTGATGGGTAAAGGAAAATGCAGGGAACGCTGTGTTGTTCGACTTTTTCCTCAACTGCTGAAACGGGGTCGTTGCCCTCTGCCGCGTGAAGGGAGTGGTGCTGGTCGGAAGGGGGAACCCGGGTCCGGGTAATTGGGGGCTGTTGGGGATACTTGGGCGAATTCTACTAGGGTCTCAACCAGATCTTTGAATTGAAATGTCGATTCTTTCGGGTTTCAACAATATGTTGCCTCAGGGATTCAACAAGATGCTTTTTGGGGACCTACAGGTTCTTCCGGGTTTCAGCCAGATGCTCTTGGCAGCCCTTAGCTCGTCAGATTTTGCCCCCGAGCCCACTTATTGGAAACTCTTCTCATGTTTGAAGCTACAGGTCTCTCACGCCGCACCAAAGAACTGTCAACGTGTGGCATGTGTAACAAAAAAGGCTTCTCAAACTAAAAAGTCCCTGTTCCCCTGTCATGGATGTCCGGATGTGAAGTGAAGTGTAGAGGGAATCCGGATCACTTTTGCGGGACCGTATGTAAGCCTTCGGGCTTCTAGCCTCATAGGTTTTCCATGCCGGTTTCCACTGGTTACCTATAGGGTCTGCCCCTGTCAGACCTGGGACACAAAATGGCTGCCAACAAGAAAACCAAAACGTGTTGCTTCGGAATTTCACGGCGAAAAGTTACATCATTTGTGGATCTGTGATGAGTCCCAAGCTCCCGGATGGGTTTATTAATCCGCAGTTCCCCATGAATGGGTTGTGTCCTGTTGACTTTCTTTGAACAAAAGCCGCTGGAGGCTTGGAGCATTGAAGCCCACTGAAAAGGAA